TTAACTGTCAACTCAGACGTACATTGATGCAGTCATATTCTGTTGTTAGGTTAACATTGTCTTTTTAGGCATATGTCCGGCAGGTTGCTGTAATGGCAAGGTTCTAAATATCCTGTTAAACCAGATGCAAATGTCTTGAAGTGCTCCGTTTGAGGTATTTAAAAAAGGTTACATTTTCACTGTTAAAGTTCAATTATTCATTGTTGTGGGAATTGAGTGATAGAATTAAGGAAGTAGCAAGGTATGCTGATCAAGGTATCATAGTGTTTGTTGTTGTTTGTTTTTGCAACAACTGTGCTGGGATCCGGGTTAAGGGGTGGGGTGGGTGGCTGGGTGGGGGGAGAATTGTTTGTCCAATGTTTTTTCAGTTAGGTTTTTTATTATATTGTTTATTTCATGTTATCTTATCCTTTGCCTGTGGGCTGCTTCTACACTTAATATACTAAACTCGGTCTCACGCCACACCTTTTCTCTCCCTGTTGCTTGTCAGCGGGGGAGAGGTGCCAGGTATGAGGACAGGGACATGCAGGTACACCACCTGCCCAGTATCATTGTATGCTAAACTCTAACTCCTTAACAGCACCAAGTGGTGCTTTAAGATTTACTAGTTGGAATGTCAGGGGCCTGAATTCTTCCGTGAAACGTAACAATGTGATTAACCATCTAAAACATTTAAACACAAAATTTGCCTTTTTGCAAGAAACCCACCTCCAACCATCAGACCATCTTAAACTTCGCAGAGGGTGGGTGGGCCAGCTTTACCATTCTTCCTTTTCAAGTAAGGCCCGAGGCGTTGTAATTCTTGTTCATAAATCTGTGCCATTCTCTGTGTCCAATGTTATATCAGACCCAAGTGGCCGTTTTATTATCGCAACTGGCAAAATATGTGGCAACAATCTGACGTTGGCGAACGTGGATGGCCCGAATTTTGACAACGAGGACTTTTTCAGAAATGTTCTTTTCTCCATTCCTGACATAAATTCCAGCCAGCTCATTCTGGGAGGGGATTTTAACTGTTGTATTGATCCTTCACTTGACCATCTAACAAGCCCTCTGCCCCATCTAAATCTTCCAAAGTTATCCAACTGTTCATGGAGCAATACGCAGTCTCAGATGTCTGGCGCTTTTTTAATCCTAGTGCCAAGCCGTTCTCTTTCTTTTCTCCTGTTCATGCTACTTTCTCCCGAATTGCTCCCCTCTGTTAGCTCGTGCTCATACAGCCCTATAGTTATATCGGACCACGCAACTGTCATTGTTGACATCTCTCTTCCCGGCAGGTCCTTGTCACGTTCCCCCTGGCGCTTCAATTCACTACTACTGTCTGACCCGGATTTTATCAAAACTATTAGGAATCGCATTGACCTTTTTATTTCCACTAATGTTAACCCGCTGTATCTGCAGCAACAATTTGGGAAGCGTGCAAGGCCTATCTAAGAGGAGAAATAATATCCTATGGCGCTTACCAAAGAAAAATCAACACTGAGAAGAGTATCTGCCTTTCCAGGGCTTTATCGGATCTGCAGACAAGATGTGGAGACTCCCCCAGTGCAGATATTCTCAAAGAATTACTGACAAAAAAGGCTGAATTTGACATTTTGGCCTCAGAAAAGGCAACAAAATCCCTTTTAAAAACACGCCACAATTACTATGAATTCGGAGATAAACCGAGCAAAATACTTGCCCACCAAATTCGACAATCCTCTTCCTCTCAGCATATCACTCAAATTAATACTGCTGATGGAATATCTATTAATCCTCAAACCATTAATGACCAATTCAAGGACTTTTATAGTTCATTATATACTTCTGAGAGCTCATCTGATGAGACACAATATGACAACTTCTTTAGGTCCCTAAACATCCCCTCCATTGACCCTGAAACATCGTCTGGGTTAGATGAACCCTTCACAGTTAATGAAATCAAAGCTGCTCTAATGTCGATGCAGAGTGGGAAATGTCCGGGCCCTGATGGCTTCCCTGCTGAATTTTTTAAAATGTTTTCTGATAAGATAACCCCTCTTTGCTTAACATGTTTAATGAATCGTTTCAATCTGGCACACTTCCCCCTACGCTACGTCAGGCTACTATTTCTCTTATACTGAAAAAGGACAAGGATCCTCTTCTTTGTGGTAATTTCCGCCCTATATCTTTGCTTTGTGCTGACGTCAAGCTTTTAGCTAAGGTGCTAGCAAAACGTTTAGAATCTGTTCTGACTACTATCATCTCCACAGATCAAACAGGGTTTGTTAAAGACAGACACTCTTTTCACAATGTCAGACGGCTATTTGACATATTTTATTCACCCTCTTATCCTGATTCCCCAGAAATTATTATTTCAATGGATGCTGAGAAAGCTTTTGACCGGGTAGAATGGCCTTATTTATTTCACACATTGAGAAGATTTGGGTTTGGCGTCACACTCTATATACATCCCCCCTAGCTTGCGTCCGCACAAATAATGATTATTCTGATTATTTTCCCCTCAAGCGTGGAACTCGGCAGGGTTGTCCACTTTCTCCTCTTTTGTTTGCCATTGAGCCGCTGGCGGTGGCCCTCAGGTTCAGTCAGATGCAGGGCATCTCAAGGGGGGGTGTTGAGCATAGACTCTCCTTGTATGCTGATGACCTTCTGGGTTCCAGGGAATACCTCTACTGTCCCCTGTGCATTCCAATCCGCTGTTCACTCCCTCCATCACTGATGCTGCCTTTTCAATATGGGAGATCAATGGGATTGTGTCTGTAAAACAACTTTACATTGATAGAACATTTGCATCTTTTGATCAGCTGGCCCGTAAATTCAATCTACCCAAGTCCCACTTCTTTAGATATTTAGAAGTCCGAGATTTTATTCGTAATCGTTTTCCAAGTTTCCCTGCTATTCCTCCTTCTACCTGGGTTGACACTATCTTAAGTATTTACCCTAACCTCAAGGGTACCATTTTAAAGCTATACAATACTCTTTTTACATGCCACCCTCTGCCCTCTGATAACTTTCAAACTAATTGGTCAGAGGACCTCAATATAGAGATAGGGACTGAGGTTTGGCAGTCTATTTTGAAACGTGTCCACACATCATCCATTTGTGCCCGCCACGGGGTTTTACAATGTAAAGTGGTCCATAGAGTGCACTGGTCCAAAAGTAAACTAGCTCGCATCTATCCTGGTACTGATCCTAACTGTGATAAATGTCACCTAGGACCAGCTAATCTCGCCCACATGTTTTGGACTTGCCCCACTCTATCTCAGTTTTGGAAGTCTGTCTTTGACTCACTCTCAGCTATTACATCTGTTACCATCCATCCCTCACCCTTAATTGGCCTGTTTGGTGTCTTACCCGTTAACCATTTACTGCCATCCTATTTAGCTGAACTTGTAGCTTTCCTCACATTGCTGGCTAGGCGCATTATTTTGATGCATTGGAAGAGTCCTCGTCCCCCCTCTCATACACATTGGATAAAGGATGCCCTATACTTTCTGAAATTGGAAAAAATTAAACACTGTATTCGGGGCTCAGACTTGAAGTTCACAAAAATATGGCTACCCTTCTTAGAACATATTAAGTCCCTCCAGTTGGAGTCTGTCCCCATTGGCAGAGTCGCCCCCCCCCCCCCCCTGTACCGCAACAGCTCACAGGTATGCTCACAAAATGTCTCGCAGGTTTTTTTTTTTTTTTTTCTTTACATTTTTCATTATTACATTATTGTCTAATTGTAACTGATGTATTGTGTCTTGGGGTTGTTTTGTTAGAAATCGCAGGGGTAATGCATTGTATTGCTGCTGTCTTTGTGTATTGAAAATCGCAAAAATAAATCATATATAAAAAAGAAATGATGGCGCTTGACGAGAGTCAAAACTGTTCTTGGCTTTGTTTTGTTCATAGTAGTAATGCTCATGTCATTTGCTCACTACTAGTCTTTTTTTTACCACCAGGTGTGCAAAAACTACAGGTACATTTAATATAGATATATATTATTATCGGTATCGGTCTTGAGAAGCAGGAAGTTATCGGTATCGGTTTCAAAAAACCAATATCGTGCATCCCTACTAAGCAAGTTAACTCAGATGAGGGGATTTGGAAACGGTTTCCGAATTAGGAAGCTTACTTTGGAAATCAAAATAAACTAAGAAAGGCCTGCAGCAAAAATCATATTGTCCCCGCTGGCCAAAGATAATAAAGTTATCTAAATAATACCACATAAATCCTTTTGCTTCTGCAAAGCTGTACATTGTGTTACACAAGATGGCTACTCACCTTCATTGATGAATTCCAAATAGGTGAACCCCAGATTTAACCTGATGTACTTTTTGGTACTCTGGTATTTTACCTTCAGCAACATGATGAGTCTTCTTAAAGAAACCACAATGGAGATAATGTTTTAGCTGCCACATCTACAAATCTAAAAGATTCTGTCTGGAACAATATAGCTTCTTTTTTTAAATACGCAACCACTCATTTAAGTAGGCTTAGCCTCTTCATGCAGATTTTTGTGATCCAACTGTACATTCATTTACTGATACTAACGTGTTAAATATCAAATGCAAAGATTTTTTTATAATTGCCAGTAAAATCGAAATCATATAGCTACAACAATATCTAAGATATTTCAGTATTAAAATCGGAGATAATATGAGTCTGGCAATGCGTAATATTTATTTTGTTCAACCCCCAACACCAAGTCCGACGATTTATTTCTCAGCCATTAAATACGCTCGTCTCCGCAAGATGGCGCTGCGCGTGACGTCAGAGTGTACAAAGTACAAACATATTTCCACCTGGCTTATCGCTCACAGCGGCTTCCGCCGATAGTACAACTTAGTTTCGTTATCATGTCTGATTCTGAGTCGGAGGCCACCTAAGATCTGGAGTATGTTGTCGACATCCAACCACTAAAGTACCACTAAACCACTAAAGTCAGTGTTCGAATTACCCATTTGCTTTCGGGGGAGCCCTATTTTTTTTGTGCACATCCTGCTACTAAATATGTCACACGCACGCTCTGTTGACTGGCGGAGCAGCGCGGATGCGATCAATTGCTATAAAAACACTCTGCTACTACTATAGACGGTATTACTGCCAAGGCACAATAACATTTCAGAGAGAATAAATAACAACATGAGGCTACTGTTTCAAAACCAATTGATAGCCATTAGCCAACATTTATTCAATTGCAACAAACAAAACAAAGCAACGACATCAGCTGCTGTTGGGGACACATGGCAGCGTTTTTCAGTGTAAAGGCTATATAACATAGGCACGGCGGCCTCAGAATTTAAATTAGTTGAACTTTTTTTCAGCTGAAGGGGAAGGAATTGGGGCTTCTTTAGGACCAGCCTGGAATAGGCCTACAGTATTGTCCCTATCGCTTCTTCCCTGTCACTCCCCTGTGGGTGGATTGCTATGGAGGGAAAACGGACGAGAAGTTACAAACATGCAAGCAGGCTATGAAACCTGTGTGTGTGTGTGTGTGTGTGTGTGTGTGTGTGTGTGTGTGTGTGTGTGTGTGTGTGTGTGTGTGTGTGTGTGTGGTGTGTGTGTGTGTGTGTGTGTGTGTGTGTGTGTGTGTGTGTGTGTGTGTGTGTGTGTGTGTGTGTGTGTGTGTGTGTGTGTGTGTGTGTGTGTGTGTGTGTGTGTGTGTGTGTGTGTGTGTTGCTGAAAGAGCAACGCCTATAGATTGATTAGACTATACGCAAGTCAATCAGTCTGATAAAAACCTAATAAATCCCACAACCAAAAATGATATCAACAGTAGGACTGGGGCCAGTCCAAACAAACAAAAAGCTCAAACAGTAAAATATACTCTCTTACCTTACTGTAAAAGCGACCACAGGGACCTGGGCGGCTTCTTCTTCGCTTTCGGTCCCGGAACCCAGGATGTGGAGGGTTTGTGGCCAGCTTTGATCCAAGACCGTACAAATGGCTGAGGGTCGAATTGCTCCAGGGGGGGGCCATTGATGTCTACGAAGAGAAGTGAGAAGAGGCTCTTCTCCCGCAACTTGTTGCGTTTGTCGGTGTCGGTCGAATTGACGGCAGAAAACCTCCTCTCACACTCAGCTGATGTAGGCAAAAAGGTCTTGCTCGCTGTCTGCAGTTTTTGCAGGGCTTTCCCTGGAGATTTATTCTCTAATTTGTAGTCCCGAAACTCCTCAATGGCCTCTCGGGCCGGTTCCCCCAGTACTTTTGCCAGTGCGCGTACTTCATTCTCCCCATAGAGGATCAGGGCGCTCCGTTGTTCGGGCCAAAAGCGCTTGTCCAGTGGTTTCAGCATGCGGACCAGGTCCGGTTCAGGCAGTCGCTTCTTCAAACTGTCTATTATAGACTGGTAAAACTGCAGACGGTTTATCTTGGGCCTGCTCTCTGAGAGCTCAACATCCTTGAACATGCCAGTAGCAATGCCTTCTTCCACTTTTTGTGTGGACTTTCCGCCACTGGTTTTCATAGCTGTCAACACATCGATGGTCTGCTGAATGTAGCAACTTGCATCTACCAAAGATGTTTCTCTGCGTTGCAGTTTTAGCGACAGGCTTTTAAGTTCTCGAAGAACATCCTTCATTGTTGCCAAATCAGCCAGAAATCCAGTGCTCGTGAGGAGTTTGTGCAGTCCCCTGAATTTCTGTCTCTCTGTGTCACTGCGAGATGATGTGTCGTCTGTTGCTGTTTTGAATTGGCGTGCCAGTGCGGGATAATCTTTCCAGACAGCTTTCACAGTCTGAAAACTACTAGCCACCCAACGAATAGTGAAGATTTGGCCTATTTTCAATATTTGCACGTTTAATTCTGCTGCTGCTTCTTGGAGCAAACGGGCATTTTTTGTTGACTGGTGATAGAGAGCATATAGTTTTGCAACAAAAAACTCAAATTGATTACACCCAGCTACTTCTTTAAGGCAATCCTTGACAGCCAATTCTAGTCGGTGGGATAGACAGTGAATAGACTGCACTTTGGGGAAATCCTGTTTGAGTTTTGTCACAAGTCCCCCAACTCTGCCTGTGAGTACTGCTGCTCCATCCGTTGCTATTGAGATGAGATTTTCCCCCAAGAACTCGTCATCCAATCCAGCTTGTTTTAAGCTTTTCCTCAAACTGCTGTACAGCGAGTTAGCATCCGTACCTTCTGAAAGCTCAACAATATCCAAAAAAACATTGTCCACTTCCCCTTTTCCTGTCATGTCACATCGCACGTAAATAATCATGTAGGCCCGCCCATGAACTGTGCTCTCATCTATTGTGATACTAATTAGTGAGCCCATGTCTTTTATGTTGGAAACGAATTTAGCTCTCATTTCCTCTGCGATATGCCTGATTATTTCAGCACAGGCATGGTCCGATTTGTGCACAGTCCCTACCGTAGCACCATTGAGTTGTTGTAGGAACATTACAGCAGGTAGCTTTCTGTATGACATTTCTTCTTTGGCAATCATATACGCAGATCTGAACGATGTATATGTCTCCTGCATTAGATCAGCATTGATTGCTAATACCTTGTTTGGCAGGACATCTTTCTTTCTCATCTCCGAAATTGCGATTGCCTTTTCATGTGCCTGGCTCTTATCGTGCTTATAAATCTTTTTTCGCAGGTTATTTTGTTGATCACAGCTGACCTGTCCCTGAATCCATTCTGGTGAAAGGTGCACTCCGGTGGATTTCTCTCCGAGCGGCAAGGAGATCAATATTGTTTTTGCGTCTTTGCAAATCTCACATCCAAATTTTTTATTTTTGATGAAAAGCCATGGATACTTTTCTTTCCACTCACTACATCTTTTCAGTGTCCAGTTAAAAGGCAGGCCATCATGGGCATCGTCAGCGTCAGGTTCGCTAGTGCAGGTCGAACCGGCGGCTGTGGCCGTTGTTGAAGCCTCTTCTGAAGCCTCTTATGGCTCCGCATCGGCAGGCCTTTCCCTCTGAGTGGAGCTGTCAAAATCGACCCTACAGCCGCTAACAGCTGGCGAACTAAAAGTTGTCCGGTTGACATCTTCATTTTTCGACTCCTTTGCTTCTTTAGTCGTGAAACCAAAAGCTGCGAGGCTTGGCTGTTTTCGTTTCGCAATTTTCTTTATTATTTAGTAAACAACATCAATATGAACATTTCAAATCCCGCGCCGGCGCCACCGTAACCATAGCAACGTAAGTAGCGTAAACAATGCAGCACCGCCACGTACAGAACAACACACAGAAATATTCACAAATGTAAAACGAATATTCAGAAACTGTAATGAACAATGCCTATAATTTATTTCAAGAACTTTTATTAACAGAAACTCAACATTTCTAATCTGTGTGACACAAATATGCACGATTTTTTTGGGCTCCCCCTATTTATCTCAAAGTCGGCCTTCGGGGGAGCTCCCTCCCTCCCCCTCATTTCGAATCACCTACAATCAGTTAATACAACTAACGAGTCAAAATACTTTAAAGTATTTTGACTTGTTAGTTGTATTAACTGATTGTAGGTGATTATTTTTCCCGGGTCGCCGAGGGTGCTGGCGTTGTTTGTTCGCCGCTCCTCCGCCCCAAATATTGTTCTTTAGTCCAGATCAGAACCTCTCCTGTCTGGCTCTCTACTTTTGAAACGTCAGTCATCAGCAAAAATAGCAGCATCTCTATATCGAATCGACACAGATCTTTGTGTTGTCATCTCCTACTAGGCCGCAAGGTGAACCTCGAAAAGTCCTTTAGAAAAGAAATCCCGCTCCACAGAAGTGAAACTACACAATCTTTAGTTCATAAAAAAGAACGAGTCATGCTTATCCACCAAAAAAAATGTCGTCGCTAAAATTCCTGCCAATTCTTCTAGGCACGTAATTATTGGCTGAACTATTCCCTTCGAAGCGTAATAATATCTTGGTCCAAAGTCGTGCCACGGTTCATCACGTGATCGTGCTACACCAATTGGGTAGCTGCATATTGTCAACAGAAGTGAAAGATGGCGGCCGCCATGGTTTCATCGAGTAGCGGAGACGAGGAAAACGCACCAGAAAGTCTCAAAAAGTCAAAATTGTCAACACACAAACATTGTTACATGCATATTACGTCTGTGAAGCACGAAAAGGTTGATTGTTTTACCAATACAAGATGGAATACGTACAGGACAAGCTTACAACGGTCGCTCGGCTTGAAGGGAGACTCTCGGAACGTGGTGGCTGAAAACCACAAGCACTGTCTTGATTTCGAGTTCGAAGATATTCCTGAGGACGCTGGCTTCCACCACACATGCTACATAAGGTTTACCGACACAAAGGCCATGACGAAGGTGGAAAGACGGCTCGCACGTGAGGGAGATCAAGACGTTAGGGAGGACCTTGAGGTCGAGCCCATCCCATCGACGTCTCGCAGCACGTACCGAAGCCAAACAGAGAAGCTACGATCAAGGTCAGGCCTGCCAATCGCAGGCTCTGGCCCCGTCCTTCCTGCCCTGTGCATTATATGCAAGATGAAGGAGAAAATGATCATCAAAGCAGGCAAGCGACAAAGGGATCAACTGTGTAAGGCTGAAACATTAAAAGCAGGTAAGCAAACCCCCTCCCCCACCCACACACCACACACACACTACACACACACCACACACACACACACACACACATTCTCTGTGGTTGAATAACTGAAAGGTACAATTATGTGTGAGAGATACGTCAACAAACTCATTGAGTTGTCCTTTTTTTCCGTTTAGGCAAATTGCAGAAAGCTGCTGAGAAGAAAGATGACCAAAGTGTTCTTTTACATATAAAAGACAAAGACTGTGTGGCTCTGGAGGTGCGGTACCACAAAAGCTGTTACAGTCAGTACACCATGTTTTTGCTGAGACCTGACAAACCAGAGACAGAACAGTAAGTTATTTCTCCTTGGATTGCTTTACCTATTTGCACTACCACCAGACTGAAGTCCAGGTGTGTGTCGGCGATGGCTATATATATATATACACATACACATACTTAACATTATAAGTAAACATCCAATTTCCTTCTGTTATATGTGCACACAATCACAACACTTATTCATTTATCCATTTATTTACTTCTCATTCATGTGTTGTAGGGATGAGGCAATGTTTGATGCCAGTTACAAGCTGTTCTGTGAGAGGATCATCCGCCAGAGGCTGCTTGTCAACAATGAGGTGCTTAGAATGGGCCAGCTGAGGCAGGCCTTCATTGACATGGTGAAAGCAAACGAAGGTGTTGATGCTTCAAACTACAGGTAACTGCAATGTAATACAAGTCTTATTATTTATCATGTGCAAGGCCAGCTTTAAACAAAATGTGTATGACAGGCCTGTTTGGAGAAACCCCCATGATGTGTAGTGTGTAGTGTTGTTTGTGATGATGTGGGCCTTTATTTGGCTTCTTTGGTGTTAAATGTGCTGTATGGCAGATAGGTTCTAGTCTGTAATGTCTTGTATCACCTCCACCACTCTGCTTTTGATGGTACTCCTGTGACTCGTAATTGTCACTGTTTTGTTGTGTTACAGACAGGATCTGTTGAAGAAGAGGCTGGCTCAAGATTTCCCTCAGCTAGCGTTTCACATGCCCACCAAGCGCAACGTCTGCGAACTGGTTTTTGCTGAGACTCTGTCAAAGGATGCACTCGTGGACATGCTACCAGATCCATCCGGTACGGAAACAACACAGTCCAGTGAATTGAGCCAGACAGACAGCGACAATGAAACAGGGAGAACAAAGTGCCAAACAACACATGAGGACACAAGGACACTGTATACAGCAGCGTTGTTTTTGAAAAGACTGCTTAGTGACACTCCTGGCATGTCATGCCCATGGCCTCCCACTTCTGAAAATGTAAATGTCACTGAATCTCAAACTGTTGTCCCCATTGGACTATACAATCTGCTCAGCTGGATTATAGGTTCCACTGAGGAGCCAACACTGGATCATTATGTCAACATTGATGATGACGTACATTTGAAAGTGTTGTCTGTTTGTCAAGACATTGTGTACCTTGCTTCCAAGGGCCGCAAGCAGACACCCAAGTCCTTGGCTTTAGGTTTAACTGTTCGACATTTAACTGGATCATCACGCATTGTATCACTGCTTAACAGACTGGGACATTGTGCATCATGGGACACAGTTTTGAGTCTAGACACTAGCCTTGCCCAACTGACACTAGTAGAAGGCAGAGACAAAATACCGAAGGGATTCTCAAAGCGGACACCCACAACACTTGTGTGGGATAACATTGACTTTGGTGAGGAGACACTATCGGGTCGTGGAACTACTCACCATACAAATGGAATTATGCTCCAGAGTGTGCCCGGCGAGCCTATGTCCACAGCAATCAGACAGCCACTGAGAAAGGGAGTTACCTCATTCATAGCCCCCCCCCCAATGCCTATACAACCTTACCATCAGTCCAAAAGGCAAGGGCCACAGAACTTGTGTCAACCAGTGCAGTCAGCGACATGCAGAATGGACACCCACTTTGCTGTACAAGCTGAAATGGCATATGCTTTTGTGAAGTCCACATGTACGGATAGTTGTACAATCCCAAGCTGGACAGGGTTCCATACACTGCTTCAGGATGAAAACACTCTGCAGAAGTCCGCATTGTATTATCTTCCAGTCATTGAAGCCTCACCAACAGAGATGTCAACAGTCAACACTATCCTGAAGCGAAGTGTCCAGATTGCTGACCAGCTAGAACTGGATCATATAGTTTTAGTGTTTGACCAGGCTATATATGCCAAAGCACAGCAAATACGCTGGAAGGATGTTGAGTTTACAAAGCGTCTAGTGATTAGACTAGGTGAATTCCATACATGCATGTCCTACCTGAGTATTCTAGGCAAAAGGTTCGGAGATGCAGGACTGCAAGATATCCTCATTGAATCTGAAGTTGTTGCCCCAGGATCCATCAATGGGGTACTCAATGGCCATCACTACAATCGCAGCATGAGGGCTCATAAACTTCTATATGAGAGTCTGCAGCGCATCCGGTTTATCACCTTCATGGACTCCTTGCCACCCCAAGAGAGAGCTGCGTGCATGGATGTCATCACTGAGATGGAA